TAGTACTGATGCTGTTACTTAATGAGACAACCAGGCATTGAGAGTACTAAGGACCCCACAGTTCAACTACTGCCTGTAGACAATATCTTTATCTATTGGTGAATTCTTTCTGAGAGATTTAGAACTTTGGGAAGCAAGTTTTTAAACAATCTGGAACAGTCAGAGATCAAACAAGGGCCTTTTACAGACATGGAGAAGGCCATGGACGCCCAAGAAAATAGACTGTGATTATCACCTCCAATGTGAAAATAATACCCTTCTACATATCTGAAAGGAGGACGTGTATTTTTGGAATTCTCAATCCAGAAATACTTCAGGCTCATTTCCCACGTGTCCATCCATCACCTAGAAAACAAAGTTTTGCTAATGGTACAGAAGCAATTTGCAAGGAGTTCAGGACTGATGACCTACATAATGAGGAAATGCTAACAGGACAAGTTTGAACCATTGGAGGAAGAGAGAAAAGTCTTCTGCTTCTCCTCACAATGACAATCTAATCCTCAAATATAGTTTCTGATTGTGCCAGGACCATGCTGTTCACAATTAAAATAAAATGTAATAAAAAATAGTTCTGGTCTTTTAATGAGCAATTTTCAAATGACAAAACCTCTGGATTAATCAAAGCCTCTAATTATATTTTATGCATGAAGAAAGAAAAAAAAAGATTACACAGGGGAGGGAAACCAAGGGGAAAAAAACCCCACATTTGGCTAATTTCTTTGTTTCAAGTCTTGATTTTTAGTATTTCTATCTTTTTATCTGTCTCTTAAAACTGACCACCCTGCTCATCTGCTTAGAAGTAAACCTCATTGAGTTAAAAAGGGCCCCTTCCTTAGCAACCGAACTGTCTGTAATCACCTTTCAATTATCTTGGCTGTGTTGCTCATCAAGTTAAGAGATTCACTCTGGAAGGGGACTTTTGCTCAGTCACAGGGATGCTTGAGGAATTGATTTTTTTAAATAAATTCTATTACAATCAGCATCTTCTCCATTAAGGAATTGAGCTCTCCACCAGCTTTTGCAATTCCTGCATTTTCCAAGGTAACTTTCTTAAAGCTGCAGTGTATCTGTTCTACTCGTGTCTGATCTGCTCTATGGCTATGGAGGAGGAATGAAATTCAGCAGGTTCTGACAGGTTCTGGAACAGACATTTTGAGTTGTTCGGAGAACTGGCAAATGCCATCTCTGGCTGGCCCTGCGCCCATCTATTTTCTGCCTCCTGAGTCCTAGCTGATCAGTAGGAAATGAGGATTTTGCAGTATCCTTCCCCTGGAGTGGGGAGGGAATGGGGATTTTGCAGTATCCTTCCCCTGCCATGCCCACCAAGCCACGTCCACAGAACCGGTAGTAAAAAAAAATTGAATTTCACCACTGTTATGGAGTCAGAACTTCAGGACCAGAGGTGGTATTCAGCCGGTTTGGACCGGTTCGCCACAACTGGTAGCGGAAATCATGGGGCTACCCACTCCGGCTCTATGCTGTCCTATTTAGGCATGTTTTTGAGATCAGATGCATGCATGGAAGACTCGTGCATGAGCAGAGTGCATGTGTGAAAGGCTGGGTGCATGCATGGAGGTGGCACGAGTGCCTATGTAGCAAATGGGTTCAGGACCCACCATTGACACTGGAATTGAAAATTGTTGTTTTTTCTCCAGCGTAATGCATAATCAGTTACACATGTCGTGTATTTGTTATACAGTATAATACACAATCTGTATCCATAAATTTCTCTTAAAAGAAAAATGCTTTCTGCTTCTTCCACATCTACCTGGATACCTGTAGATGTTCTTTCTGCTCAGAGCTGTGATGAAGGATTAGCCCACGCTGGGTTCTGTTTCCTGATATACCTTTTCCTTCTCGATTTCTGTTTGTCAGATCCTACTCTTCCTTTTCCAACCGTCCCGTTGTTTTGAATTATCTCCATCCTGAGGATAATTATGCATGTTCTTAGCCTGATTATAATTAAAGTCAGTGCGGATAGTAATTGGCCTATTCAGAAAAGCAGTTTGTTTCCTTGCTGTTTTTCATAAGGAGGGATCCTTAAGAAAACTTATAATTGTAGTTTGGGCTGTCATCTTCTCTTTAAAGGATAGATCATTTTTCACCATATGGCATTCCCCAATATTTCTTGGAATTGAACCCAGAGAGTCTCTGAAAGAGGAAAAATGAAACAATCAAGATAGCTGCTGCAAATTATGTGATTGACATCTTACCACCACCACCCCAAGCATTGCAAAAGGATTTCTGGTGCGACTTTGATCACACCACATTTTTAACCCTAAAGTATTTATTAATTTATAAAGACAAGGTATTTTTAAAAAAATAATAATAAAATGTAAAAATGTATATTGTGATGCCCATTAAAAGAGGATTAAGCATAAATCACACAACCATGTTGCCTTCTTTGACACAACCCTGCAAAGTGCCCTGCTTGAACCTGACAAGGTGGCTCAGTGGCTAAGACACTGAGCTTATTGAGCAGAAGGTCGGCAGTTCAGCTGTTGGAATCCCCAGCACCGCATAATGGAGTGAACTCCTGTTACTTGTCTAAGCTTCTACCAACCTAGCAGTTCAAAAGCATGTTAAAATGCAAATAGAAAAATAGGAACCACCTTTGGTGGGAAAGTATCAGCATTCGGTGCATCTTCAGCATTTAGACATGCCTGCCACATGACCACGGAGACGTCTTGGACAGCATTGGTTCTTCGTTGGGAACGACTAGCACATATGTGCGAGGGGAATCTTTGCCTTTACCTGAACCTGTCTTGAGTTCTGGATCTCCAGCAAACATAGGCCATAATCTGGGACTCAGTTTCTTTAGGTTTTCAGACATGTTTTTCAGACAGAGATGCAGGAAACTGGTATGTGGGCTCCTACATTTCAACAGGCAAATCATATGAAATTTCTTGATTGATAGACCCATGGGGTCTCTGCCTTGGACAGACATGGCTTAAGACTAAAACCTCTGTTCTCCCCTGAGCTGAAACCAAGAGATTTGCAACATCCATTCTTGTGACAGGCAGACAGTAATTGGCCTCTGAGCAGGCCAGTCTGGAATTAATAAGATCTTCCACTAAGCCTGAATCCAGCAATTCACTCTGGCTGCTCTGTTTTAGGCTGGAGAAAATACCGTATTTTTCAGAGTATAAGATACTCCGAAGTATAATATACACCTAGCTTTTGGGGAGGAAAACAGGGGGGAAATATCTGCCTCTGCCTCCCAGCAATTTGCCTCCTTGCAACAAATAGTACAGACAATATACACTGTTTGTAGTGTTACATTTCAGACTATACTTGTACAGATGCTGTTAAAATTGATGTGCTTTCTGGAAGTATAGTTATTCTCTGCTATTTAAAAGAAGATACAATAGTACTGGGCCTCTTCAGATCAAGTATTTATTTTTAAAAGCTTAGTCATTTTGTTAAGCTCGCTAGAACAATAATAAAGCAGTCTTTTAAAAATAAGTAATAATTTGAACATTCTATAGGCATTTACAGTTATTGACTTACTTCCTTGCAGAAAACAGCCTGATTAGAACAAGAAAAAAAAAATCTGTCTCTGCCTCCTAGCAATTTGCCACGTGGTGCAAACAGCAAGTTTCACTTTCAATTTCTCCCGATCATCAACTGTTTCAGGCTGCAGGGATTATTATAGCCTATTGCAGCTCCCGCAAACCTCATTTTCCCCATTTGCTGCAAGGAGGTAAATTGCTTTACATGGCTTTGAGTATTGGTAGTCATGACATCACTGGCACTGGGGATTTTCACCCACTTGTTCCTAAATTAGCAACCTAGAAATGGTTGTTTTGGCATCAATGAAGAATGTCATGGTTATCATGATTTAAAAAACCATCTTTTGAGCTAGTACTTGGAATTGACAACCAAGCAGCGGAAATGGATTGTAAATGGATTTTCCCTGTCCCCTTTCTATAGCCTAAAGATTGATATTATTGCCCCATTAGAAAGATAAATGCATGGCACATTTTACTCAATGGATTGAGGACTTGATTGTGCTTGTCACCTATGAACAAACTGCCTATAGATGTACATTTTGTATGGACAAATATAAAATATGGGCCTTGTTTATACAAAATACAGTAGGTTAAAATAATAGTTATATCAGTGTATTATACATATGTATTTGAATAATAATTGCATTAAATCATTACCTGTGGAATTGTCTGTGAAGATTTTCAATAATCCAGGTCATGGTTGCCCCAAAGGTGCTTTTCAAAAGGCAACTGGACTTCTTTAGAAACTGGACTTTTCAAAAAACTAACCTTTTGAAGAGCTCCTTTGGGATTTCTCTAGAATTATAACTGTTTGTTGGGTGAAAGAAGCAAGAATGGCATGTGAAATTACTTAAGAGTCGTTTCTTTGATTGTTCTTTACCTATCGGCAGAATCTTGTCAGACTACAGCAATTATATGTATAACTATAGATATATTCTGTGAACTGCTGTGAAGTGCTAGGGAGAAACCTAACTGCTTCCTGCTAATCAAACTTTCCAGGTTCTGCTGCCTCTATGCCCTCTGGGAGGCATCCTGTTCCTTCTGGGAATCCAGACTACGTTCCCCTACATTTTTACTGTTCATTAATGTACTTTCTTCTTTGTTATATTTTACTTTATTTTTAAATGCATTTTGCTTGTTCCTTTTTCTTTTATATTGTCTGTACTTTTAGCTGTGCATGTTGCTTTTGTTCTTTTTGTTTTTGTCACTATTTCAAAAACAATAAAATAATAAAGATAGAATTTTGTACCAGGGTTCTTCACGTTCTTTAACATATCCTTGGCTTTATTAACATATCTTTGACTTTATTAACATCCTTGACTTCCTGTAGATTTCGCTATTGTAATCTAAAATGGTTGCATGTAGCTTTTCCAGATAGTGGAGCATTTCTTGCTCCACAAAATTCTAATGGAATTGGGTGCTTAGCCTAAGAAAGCAAGACTAAAAGTGTCAGGAAATTAATGTTCAGGTTGTGTTTTTCCCCCCCAGAAAACCCCAGAGAATCCTGTTTTGATCCAGGTCTGATTAAGAATGGGACTCGAGCTGGAAGTGAGCTGAAACTGGGCTCCACAATCACATATTACTGTGACAGTGGTTATGTGATTGAAGGGGTATCCACTGTGACATGTGTCATGGGAGGAGATGGGAAACCTGTGTGGAATAAGCCAAGGCCCATGTGTACAGGTAAGTTGGAGGTCTTCTGAATTCAAGTAGAACATCACTCTTCTTCTGATACAAATACTCACAAACGATAGAGGAGAACTGAACTTACAAGTGAAATTATGGGAGTTGTAGAGTGGCTAGAACAACTTTCTTTTTTTGAAAAAAAAAATCTCTTTTCCATTTCAAAAATGTTTTGTTTTCCCATGTATGATATCCTATAGGCCAACAGTCTCATTATCCAGGGCATTCCTTGAAACTCTCCACCATTTGAAATCAAATTCTGTTGAACAATCATTCACTAGGGTTTTATTACTCCCAGTGTATAATGCAGCATAAGTTATAAAAAATGTATTAGGCACAGGTTCTGCTTAAGATGCATTCTTCAGTATGCCTGCTGCTTATTGCCCATTGAATTAATAGAGTATTCTGGGCCAGCAATTTAGGGAAGAAAAAGGAGGTAATCATCAAAAGCTAATCTCATTTTTCCTTTTTCCTTGTTTTAGCACCATGTGGAGGTCAGTACACAGGATCGGATGGCGTTGTCCTGTCCCCCAATTATCCTCAGAACTACACCAGTGGACAAGTGTGCCTGTATTTCATCATTGTGCCCAAAGATTATGGTATATCCCTATTGTTCATGCCCTGTGATCCTTTTCTGGTTGTAGTGTTGTAGTGTTTCCTAATGGTACCCAACAGAATGGTGCAAATCGTAGCTGAGAGTACAGGGCTTTTCAAGAGTCTACACCAAATTTGCCAGGTGAAAAATTATGTGGATGACTTCTCTCTCAATTTATCCTGCAGACAGGAAAAGTCTAAAATCATTTCTCAAGGGTAGGTTTATTCCTTAGAACCAGTTTAGGATAGTGGTTAAGACACCAGACTCGAAGCTGGGAGACCATGAGTTATTTTTAATTTCATTTTTATTTTGTTTGGTTTGTCAAACATGTATAAGATAACAGGTATAAGTGTGGACATGAACAAGGGAAATGAGTACAAATAAATGTGGACAGTAGGACAGGGATGGTAGGCACGCCCCCTTTACGGACCGCTTAGGAAAGGGGTGAGGTCCAGGGTAGACAGTTTAAGGTTGAAGTTATGGGGGTTTGAGGATGTATTAGGTGAACCAATATCTGAAGTTCCAAAGACTTTAGCTGACACAAATGCTTTTGTGCATGCATTTGCCTAAAGCCTTCTTGAAGGTGCTTAGACTGGTGACCATCCTCATGTCTGGTGGGGAAAAAATATTGGATCATCCCTTCTCATGGTTATACTTTTTAGATATGGGGAGAGAATTCCTAACATCTCCACACATACACCTAGAGAATACCGGATTGTGAATCCAGTTCTAAATTAACAATTTGCCTGGAATTTAAATTCTTTTGAGGGACGCGGTGGCTCAGTGGCTAAGATGCTGACCTTGTTAATTAGAAAGGTTGGCATTTTGGCGGTTCGAATCCCTAGCGCCACATAACAGAGTGAGCTCCCATTACTTGTCCCAGCTTCTGCCAACCTAACAGTTCAAAACCATGTAAAAATGCAAGTAGAAAAATAGCAACCAATTTGGTGGGAATGTAACAGTATTCCGTGCACCTTGGGCATTTAATCATGCCAGCCAGATGACCATGGAAATGTCTTCAGACAGCGCTGGCTCTTTGGCTTTGAATTGGAGATGAGCACCGCCTCTTAGAGTCGGGAACAACTAATACATATGCGCAAGGGGAACCTTTACCTTTACTAAGGTCTTCTTTATGTCTTTCTTGATTTTCTTGCTAGACGTTGCACTGAATGACTGAATAAGAGGGTTTTTTTTCCCTATAGACTGTGAATTATGTATATGCCATTAAAGAATTTTACAGCTTCAAGGAACTTTAGTGCTTTGGCATAAAACTGCATAGAAATCAGTACCACAAATGTTTTTGATACATGGCTGTATGTTTCCTCTCCTATGCCTTAATATTGTTTATGGCTGTTCAATATGTTACTAGCTAAAGATCCATTAGCTTCAGTAACAGTGGAAAAATAGAGTCGTAGAGCTGGCAAGGGTCATTGAAATTTATTTATTTATTTGATTTAGTTTGTCAAACATGTAAAAGGTAACAGGTATAAGTATAAACATAAATATGAACACAGGAAATGGATATGAATAAATGGAGAGAGTAGGACAGGCATGCTGGTGCGCTTATGCACACCCCTTACAGACTTCTTAGGAATGGGGTGAAGTCAACAGTAGACAGTCTAAGATTAAAATTATGGGGGTTTGAGGATGTAACCACAGAGTCAGGTAGAGCATTCCAGGCATTGACCACTCTGTTGCTGAAGTCGTATTTTCTGCAATCGAGTTTGGAGCAGTTTATCCTGAGTTTGTATGTATTGTTTGCCCATGTATGGTTGAAGCTGTAGTAGTCATTGATAAGTAGGACATTCTAGTGGATAGTTTTGTGTACTACGCTTAGATCAGACCGTAGGCAGCATACTTTTATGTTCTCCAAGCCCAAAATGTCAAGCCTGGTAGCATAGGGTATTCTGTTGCGAGCAGAGGAGTGGAGTACTCTTCTCATGAAACACCTCTGGACTCTCTCAATTGTATTAATATCCGATATACAGTGTGGATTCCAGGCAGACGAGCTGTATTCGAGAACTGGTCTAGCAAAGGTTTTGTATGCTCTAGTTTGCAGTATAATATTACTGGAGAAGACGCTTCACGGGATTAGGTTGACAACTCTTAATGCCTTTTTGGCAATGCTGTTACAGTGTCCTGATCAATGGAGAAATCCAAATTAATACACACACACCAAAGGTGAAAGTCCATGTTTTGAACATATATGAACACATCTAATTGAAGTACAGCCCTCCACGCCCTGGATCATTGCTCCCATTGCCAAATTTCTCTCACTGTCAAAAAGAATTTTTCCCCTAGCATTCAGCAAGAATGATCCTTTATATGATAAATTTGATATCTGTTTTATGGGAAAAAAACCTCTATTAGCATTTGAGTGTCCTTGAGTCTCTTTTTGTAGAGCTAAAGTGAAATCTAAGTTTTAAAAATTAAGAGATGAAATATGCAGTATTTTTTAAACCTGCAAAGGATCATAGGCTCAGTCTTTCACAGCTTGCAAATTTTCTCCTCCTATTCCCAGGTATGAAATGTATTACAATGTCACAATTAAAATCTGGCAGGGCTATCACAGAGCAGGAAAAAAATCTGTCAATGCCAACTTTGTCTCACTGATTACCATTTGGCCATTCTCAGTAATGAGCAATCAGTGTGTCTTTTTAAAAATTATTATTTTTTTCCATATTATTTATGTCTTGCTTGCTACTTGTAGGAAAATCCCAAAACAGGAATATAGCTCATTTTAAAAAGAATTGCAATTAAACATAAATAATTCAGTTTCAAACGCATGTCCCGCCATCTCCCATTGGCTGGAACCATAAATTCATATGACTCAAGGTCAAACATGCTGTGATTCAGAATCAAATAAAACAAGACCCAGAAAATGCAGCTCTACCTATTAAACCTATAAACCAATGGAATGGATGAATATGCTAGTGTTATGCTGTAGCCAAACCGATCCAAAGTGGAATAAGCTTGGATCCAAGTCAAAGTTTACCTTCACATCTGTATATTTCGAATACTTCCTGTGTTCATCCTTTCCCTCTTTGAATTGCTGAAGATACCAACAGGGCAAGCAAAGGTAGAGCTTCAGAAATAGAATAACAGCAGATAATATCCCAAATTGGTCCATTGCCCACAACACATTGAAGTTGTCAATGTTTCAAATGGTCTTCCTGATTAGAAGGATGAAACCTCCAGGGTTTTAAACCGCTGCATTAATAGAATGGCTAAGGGAGTCTTTCACAATCATACTTGATTCAGTATATAAGTGGCCCATATTGAGTTGGAGGTATTCAAAAATTCTGCAAAACTCCAGGAAAAGAAACTCTAGCAAAAGAAATTCTTGAAAAAGAGTCCTCCAAATTTAAGCCAGTTTCCTCTTCTTCCCCTCACTGCTTCATCCCTCCTCATACATCCCTCTTTCCCTGATCATGGGGACCAAATGTTGATAGGGTAGGGTAGGGCAGGGCAGGGCAGGACAGGACAGGACAGGACAGGACAGGGCGGAATAGAATAGAATACAATAGAATGGAATGGAATAGAATGGAATAGAATGTAGAATAGAGTACAGTAGAATAGAATAGGAATGGAATAGAATAGAATAGAATAGAATAGAATTCTTTATTGGCCAAGTGTGATTGGATACACAAGGAATTTGTCTTTGGTGCATAGGCTCCCAGTGTACATAAAAAGGCAAGATACATTTGTCAAGAATCATAAGGTGCAACACTTAATGATAATCATAGGGTACAAATAAGCAATGAGGAAACAATCAGTATCAATATAAATCTGAAGGATACAAGCAACAAAGTTACAGTCATGCAGTCATAAGTGGGAGGAGATGGGTGATAGGAACGATGAGAATATTAAGCATATTAGTCCATGTTGAAATGGAATTTGGAAAACGGATTAAATTCATATATACCCGCTAACTTCAGCATTTGGTCAAATACATACATAAAGTGAGATATCATACAGAATAAAAGTATATCACACAGAAGAAGGCCAGGGTATGTTCTGATCACAGGAAGTAGGTTTATAATAATCATTTTAATTCACTGAAGATGCATATTGTTTGAATCTTAGGAAAAAGCTCTGTAACAGCAATTTGACAGCTGAACCAGTAACCCAGACAGCTGGCAGATTGCCTTTCAATATGCTTGGAAATTCTGGGAGTTTCAGTCCACATATCTGAGCTTGGGAAAAGCTGATCTGTTATAGGATGCTGGACAAGTGGCATATAAATTTAATAAATAAAACAAATAAATTACAGGGATGCTTTAAATGGGATTCCAGAACTGGTCAGAGAGTTGGAGTCAGTGCATTAATAAAAGAGAAAGGTAAAGATTCCCCTCGAACATGTGTGCTAGTCGTTCCCAACTCTAGGGGGCGGTGCTCATCTCCATTTCAAAGTCAGCATGTGGCCAGCATGACTAAATGCCGAAGGTGCACAGAATGCTGTTTCCTTCCCACCAAAGGTGGTGCCTATTTTTCTACTTGCATTTTTTACGTGCTTTTGAACTGCTAGGTTGGCAGAAGCTGGGACACGTAACAGAAGCTCAATCCATTACGCAGCGCTAGGGATTCAAACTGCCAAATTGCCAACCTTTCTGATCAACAAGCTCAGTGTCTTAGCCACTGAGCCACTGTGTCCCTCAGTGCATTAATAGCCCCCTTTAAACATCCTGGGGCTCCAGCATCTTTACACATCTCTCACTTCCATTTTAGCTTCAGCTTTGCAAAGGCACCAAGTTAGTCTTATAGAAAGTGATGGTCAATATGTGCACCTTCTCCTATGCTTAAATGCCACACCTTTCTTTCTTTCTTTCCCATTGATAGTGGTATTTGGCCAGTTCGCCTTCTTCCAGACAGCCCTCCATGACATCATTGAAGTACATGATGGTCCAAACCAACATTCTCGCCTCCTCAGCTCTCTCTCTGGTTCTCATACAGGTGAGGTTCTGCCTCTTTCTTTCCTCCTGTGGGTAAGATGTCCTAAGAGATGTCCATCAAACACTGTAGGCATACCTTGATTGTGGAATTGTTAAAGGATCGTGCTATGTATGTTCAACTATGCATTCCCTCCCACCCTTTCCTGCTTTGATATCAGTTCTGTGATGGCTATTTGAGTATACTCTTTGTGATCGCTTAAGATGTTTAGCCGTGGCGATTTCCAGCTCAACCCACAGGGAAAAGGGAAGTTATCCCACCATTGTTCACATAATTTTAGGGGCGGTGTTATTTATAGAGAAAGGAAACTGAGTAAAAACAGATCTCGTTTTCAGTTTGACAACTATAATTCATGTCCTGACCACCAATTTGTGAATCTACTCTAAAATGCTGTACATGGGGCTACAAATGGACATATTCTGGTAGCTGTAGCTGATCCTGAATGTAGCAGTGAGACTGCTCAGAAGTCAGGGGTAAAATCCAGCAGGTTCTGACAGGTTCTAGAGAACCAGTAGTGGAAATTTTGAGTAGTTTGGAGAACTGGCAAATGGGTCCCAGAGTGGGGTGGGAATGGAGATTTTGCAGTATCCTTCCCCTGCCATGCCCGCCAAGCCACACCACGCCCACCAAGCCATGCCTACAGAACTGGTAGTAAAAAAATTTTTTGAATTTCACCATTGTCCTAAATCAATAGGCTGTATATAAATGTTCTTAATAAATAAGAAATAAATAATAAACTGCAGCTGATAGGTATCCCAGACTGATCTTGGCTTTGTTTAGGCAAACTTTCAAAGTTGACTGGGAAGAAGGCAAATATAAATGTCTCAGGCTAATGTTGCAAGATCCAATCTGGGTCGATTGCTGAGACCAGAAGTTCAGTCTTCTGAGCTTTTGGACTTACGCTGGAGCCCACCTTTAGGGAACCATTCTCTATCAGAATGTGTGCTTTGGGCTATTCTATGCATAGAATTTATGTGGAGTCTGGTTGTGTGTAGCTTTTTAGTTGCTGATCGAGGTGTTGTTGGCCAGCTATTAAATTGTTGTCTGTTGTTTCCTTGTGCTGCCGAGTCCTTGGCTCCTGACAAGTTGGTGGTAAATCAGCACTCTGTTGACTGACAAGGGAACCATTTCCCAGGCTTCAGTCATTTCCCTGGCCATTTTTGTTCCTGCTCGATCAACAATTTTAGTAGCCACAAAATTGAATGTATGTCCTTGTTCGTTGCAATGTGTGGCTTCCAAGGAGTTCTAATCTTCTCATCTGACCGCTCACGTGTTCTTGCAATCTGGTGGTTAGTCTCCTCCCCATCTATCCTACATAGTCACAGGGGCAATCCGTGCAGAGGATCTGGTAGATTACATTAGAAGTACCTCCCATCTTCAAGCAATCTTTGCAATGCATTTGTCCTCATGTGGCAGCCTCTGGACTGTGTACGATGGTCACTTGCAGATCTCAGAAGTTGTGTTCTGCTGCTTCTGAAATGTTCTTGATTATGATAGGGAAGGACCAATGTAATAATGCCTATATGATTCTAACAATAACGTCATCAGAGGCAATGAAACAGGCAATGATGGGAAAAAGATATTCCTTTTGTGGAAAGCCTTCCCCCAAAGTCTCAATAGATGCCCACCTTTTGGCCTTTTTGGCCACAGGAATAGACGTTTTTTATTCTCCCAGGTATTGTCCAAAACCTTTTAGTGAGTTGAGGTCATTTGCTTTCATTTTAATCTATTTCTTACTTTCATTTCAAGTTTGTATTGCTTTTAAACTTATTTGCTTTCCTTTGGTTTTTTTTTTTTTTTTGTGTGTGTGCTATATTTTCTCACAAATCAACATTTTTACTTTCCTGGAACTTAATTTACTTAATTTGCAGGTGTGCCATTCATAAAGAGTAGGTGGTAATGTGGTCTAGTAAAGAAGTTTCTTATTTTATTGCATTTTGCTGAAGGTCGTTTTTTTCCTTCCATCCTAGGTGAATCATTGCCTCTGGCTACCACCAACCAAATACTGATCAAATTCAGTGCCAAAGGGCAGGCCACAGCCAAAGGTTTCCATTTTGTCTATCAAGGTAGGTGAGGAGTCTGGAAATAACTCTGCTGACTGTGACAGTCAAATAAAAATAGAGCATAAGCACTCCAGAAATAATAGGAAAGATTGGGGCCTGAAGTTTTCTCAATGGATAATATGCCATACTGCAATTTATAGTGACTTTAAATGCAAAGTCAGAACTCCTCTGGGCTCAGACATAAAATCTTATTGCACCATTTTTTCCCCTTTTGTTCCTCACCTTCTCCTGACATTCACTTGTTTACGCAGTGCATGTTATGTGGAAAAAAAACACGAATTTTGCTAAGCAGAGTTTGTGTCAGTGTATAATCAGAATGTAGGCAATGTATGGTAGAATTGAGATGGAAATTCAATGGAAGAGGAATGGAATCAAAAATTCCAAATATCAACTTGGCCAGTTCGCTTGGTATAAGAACTCAGCAGGATAATTTTATTATAAACTCATTTAGTTTGGTATTCTTTTAAAAAATGCTGTAAGAATCCATCTATACTCCTGATTTGTAAAATTATAACCTTTGTAATATAAATAAGAAACTACAGAGTTCTCAAAACAAATGGAAACTATTTGACTATATACCACTTCATAGTGCTTTTACAATCCTCTCTAAGTGGTTTACAGAGTCAGCATATTGCCCCCACAACATTCTGGGTCCTTATTTTACCCACCTTGGAAGGATGGAAGGCTGAGTCAACCCTGAGCCAGTGAGATTTGAATTGCCGAACTGAGCTAGCAGGCAGCTGAAGTAACCTGCAGTACTGCACTCTAACCACTGCGCCAGCTCAGGAAATCTTTCTAGCAACCAACAATTGCAAGAATTGTGGGTACAGATCTAGGTCTGCATTGAAATTGTTCCCTCATCACAGTCTCTCTTAGAGTTGAAAGTGGCCACCTCCCTTAGCACACACCAACTTCTTGATGTCTACATTTTGATCCGATAACAGCAATACTGGCAGTGCTTAGAAGGGGAACAAACCAATTTCCATCACCATCTTTATTTTCAAAGACGTTGATAGCCACCAAATGATAAGCAGGGATGAAGGGAGGATTAGCAAGTAATATTGAGGTCAGTAGATGTTGATCCATGTTTATGTCATACACTGAAGCCATCTTATGAGTGAGCCAGCATCTTCTCCTGAGAGCCATGTGGTAAGAGCAGATGGTCAAAATTTTAAGTAGGAAAAAGATTACACACTCCAAAGCTAGGAGACATTCTAGCATCAAATTAAAGATGAGTCAAATTAGAAGAACAGAATAGCGCCTTCTTCCGGCTGTATGAACTACCCATTGCTTATCACTTGTCCATATATCTTCAAAACGCAGACTGGATGATCATACGTCAAAGATGTTGGGGCTGATTGTGAGAGATGGTACCAATGGAAGAAGGGGTGCTTGGTCTGATGGATTACAGTGAAGTAGGAGGCAGTTTCCCAGGAAGGAGGGAGAACATTCCAGAAAGTGGGGGGTGGGGGGAGAGGCATACAGCACCACACCCTCATGGATAGGATACAGAGCATAAGGATAGCCACCGCCTGTATATTCATATAGCTTTAGTCTGGCAAGGATCTGTTTATTGTATGTAAGTAAGTACTACTTTTCAGTAAAGTAGAGCTGAAAACTCCAGATAGACTACATGAGTTGAGATGTTCCTTCCAGTTCTGTGGTTCTGCGATTCCCATGTACTCCACATGAAATGACAGTGAGATCTTGTGCAAAGAAAGCAAAGTCAATGATGCTCAGCTCTAAACCTCTAAACAAGAAAGCACTTTGGCAAGTTCCAAATGTCAGCAACCACCCTAGTGACCATAGCTGCATTATTTGTTTGTTTTTTTCAAGTGGAAAATATCCAGAGACTGACACACAAACACACACACACAAACACACACACATACACTTACGTTCCCTCCTAAATAAACTGCCTTTGTGAGTACATGCAACGTGCTTGCTTGGTTCCCCATCAAAAGCCCCTCTTGAAATGCTACTTTTAGATTCTTCAAACAAGCTTTACTTTTTCATAGATTTCTGTTCCCCGGGATGTTTTTCAAAGGCTTCAATAAGGAAACTCCTAATTAATGACACATCTGATGTGTATGATGTTCTCCAGAGGGGATAAGAAAAAAAGGCACTTGAGAGTCCTTCTCCCGAAGGACCTCAGCCTCAGAGTTGCCCCTTGGAAGTGTAGGGGAGTTTGATTTAGGGCAAAGTATGAACCACCACAGAGAAACTCAGCTTGGATTTCTTTTGATGCTTTGTCTGCCTAATCAGAGATCCATTCAGTCCTCACTCAGCCTGTTTTGGAGAACCTATTTTGATAGCATTTTTTAATGATTTAACTAGACACTGAAGAAGTCAAATGAGAGTTTCCTTCTTCCCGCCTAAGTGTAATTGCAAGCCCCCATCCCTACGGTTCTTGCTGATTGCCTCTCTATAAAAAATCGCAATGCAAACAGGCATTTCCTACTTCTTATGCCTGACTTTCTTTTTAAAAAAAATATTTTTATTAAACAGTTTTTTTAAAAAAGACATTTTTTTTGCAATTTCCTTCTGTACAACATTTCCACCTTGGTATGCATCCATCGTAAATGCACTTCTACCCCTTTATTTCAGTTTCTCTTTGTCTATACATATGATACTATTATGTACGTTCCTTAATTTACAATCCTTAATTATGTAACATTTCCATTTATACATATTTGTTCATCTCTACCTATATATTGCTAATTTCTAACTCCTGTGTCTTCTTCATTTAGCCTTTCCTTAAGCTTTACACCTGTCCTCTGGCCATTTGTACCACTCATTCCATACCATATAATATTCCGTTTCCTCCTTTTCTTTTATTTCTTTTGTAAGTTTGTCCATCTCTGCACACTCTAACACTTTCATTATAACATTCTCCCCTGATGGTATATTATTATTCCTCCAATTTTGTGCCTGACTTCCTTAAGCTCACATCAGATTCATCTCAATGTCATCCAACTGGTTTTCCCATTCTTTACAATGCACAGGACAGGTATCACTTTGGCTTGAGCATACAGATACTCCCCAAATTACAACCATTCCTTTAGGTAGTGTTCAAGGTTATGACAGCACTGAAAAAAGTGACTTATGATCAGCCCTCACACTGGTGACCATTTCAGATCATATCCTGTGATCGAAATTTGGGCACCTGGCAACTGGTATGTATTTATGATGTTTGCAGTGTCCTAGTATCACATGATTGCCATAACTAGCTTCCAACAAGCAAAGTCAATGGGAGGAAACCAAATTCACTTAATGGTTGCAGGATTCACTTACCAACTGCAGCAATTTGCTTAACAGCCATGACAAAAAAGACTATGAAATTAGGTGTGACTCACTTAACAACTGCTTTGCTTAGCAAGGGAAATTGTGGCCCCAATTTTGGTTTTAAGTTGAAGACTACCTGTCTTCATGCAAGGTAGTGGTTGCAGAACAAAAAACAATCCCTTGGTTTTTGATTTTGGAATAAGACAGTATCACGTGGACATGATCTCAGAAATCTCTAAGTGGACTGTATTATAGTGGAAGATAACACAGATTGCTTCAGATCCAGAAAGAACAACTTGAATTGTCTTTGCTTTTCTCTGCTTTTGTCTTAGAGTCACAAATGTAATCTGTCCTGAACTCAACCTATCTTCCGGCCAACAGAAATATTGGCCAAGGGGATTATTTTGTTTTTTGATTTGTTTTGTTTTGTTTTTAAGTAACTGCATAGCAAACAACTGAAGGTAAAAACAGATTGTGCATCATTGTCTCTGCAAACAGCCAGAAATTGAGTCCAGCCAAGAAGTAACAGCAGTGGATTTTTTTTTTTTTTGAAAACCACTTATAAATAATAAAGCAGCAGCAAAGACACACTTCTTAGGTTGCTGATTTGAAAGGAAGGGAGAAACAGCTAGTAAATGCTCTATAAGGCAACATCTACACTTGAGCACATATGTGTCACTGTGTCACCTGTCCACAAAGACTCTTTCATTAGATGCATCATTAGGTAATTATTGCCAGATCCGATTAATCCTGTGTTATGGCCATTCTGACCAAAGTGATACCTTTCTAAACCATCCTGTAATCTTTGGTTAATTGAGTGACACAGAAGACCCCATTCTACAATGAGTGAAAAGTTCACAAAATGCCTTCTTCTTGACAAGGGATAAAAAATGCACCCTAACCAACTGGGGGGTGGGGGGGAGGTAGCATAATATTACTTGCAAGAAAATCACTATATTTACTAACTATAGGGAATTATATATAATGGAAGTTGCCTGGACCAGGAGTAGTTGTTTCCAAATGAACCTACTTATGATTTCTAACTTATGTCCCTCTACACAAAGAACTAGTCCAAATAATATAAGAATGTGCTTGAAATTCTCCCTCTCTCTCTCTCTGTCTCTCACGCACATGCACTCATACATACACACACACACACACACACAAGTGTTCTCTCTGCAGCAACAGCATTAAACTAAAACCTTATTGACTACTGCAATTATGTTTTTTCTCTCTAAAAAAGAGTCCGATTTGGGAATCATATCACTCAAAACAGTACAAAATGCAGTTTTATCCTGAACTTGGGGTAAACTTTCAAAATGGGAATTTCATTTGGAGGTCAGAACAACTGAAATGCTTACTTTGAACTCTGAATATTTTCTCTGGAGAAACAAATGACTAACGGGCCCCAGGGATTTCTTACCCATCTATCCTTTCCATTGCCCCAAGCTTCAGCATCCCACCCCTTATCCACCTCATGGAGTTTTTTTGTGGCAAGATCAATCATTGTCTACTATCATCGGTGGCATAAGTGTGCAGTTAAATTGATGAATAGCAGTCAGGAAATAAAATAGACAGAGAGAATTTAATAAAATCTGGTAAAAATATATTGGAACACTGCTATCATGTCTCCCCTACTCCTTCTTTTTAGTTTAATGAAAAGAAGGACTAGGGGAGATGTGATAGCAGTGTTCCAATATCTCAGGGGTTGCCACAAAAAAGAGGGAGTCAAACTATTATCCAAGGCATCTGAGGGCCGGACAAAAAGCAATGGGTGGAAACTAATCAAGGAGAGAAGCAATTTAGAACTGAGGAGAAATTTCCTGATAGTTAGAACAATTAATCAGTGGAACAGCTTGCCTCCAGAAGTTGTGAATGCCCCAACACTGGAAGTCTTTAAGAAGATGTTGGATAGCCAGGAATGGAGGGTTTCCTGCCTAGGCAGGGGGTTGGACTAGACGACCTCCAAGGTCCCTTCCAACTCTGATATTGTATATTGTATATATTGTATATTGATCCTGGGAAGGAATTATTTCAGATACTATTTGCGTTATAGGTGATGGTCTAGCTGACTTCTAATTTTTAGCTCCTGTAGAAAAGCATCTGCTTACCAAGTCTATAATGTCCTTAATTTAAAACATAAATAAGCACAGGACTCTTTGTGACATTTACGTTCTCCATAGTGTCACTCTGGATGACTCTGGATTCTAAATTTCAGCTGCAGAAGGTCCTGATATTTATTTCTAGAATGGATTGATCCTCCGGAAAATATTCAGGAAAAAAGGAGAAATAAGGACTTAATCTCTTGGATATTGATATTAGCTTTGCTATTTAACATAGGATGCTCCCTGTATGTTGCCTCTGGGAGCTTTGCTGGAGGAGGAAGGAAAGGTCATGTTTCATTACCTTGCCTGGAAATAATGATAAACACAGGCTATAACACAAGGATACTTTTGAAGTATATGTTTCATTCTTGATCTCCTACAGAAGGTTTATCTTAAGAGCTTGAAAGCCAAGCTCAATGAAAAAGCTTTCCATAGGGTTCAGTATCTATTTTGCTCCATGATGTTTTCCTTTCTCTGTCTTTTGAAGCGGTTCCACGAACCAGTGCGACCCAGTGCAGCTCCGTGCCAGAGCCCCGTTATGGGAGACGGATTGGCAGTGATTTCTCAGTGGGGGCTGTGATCCAGTTTGAGTGTAATGCTGGCTATGCCCTCAAAGGATCCCACAGCATTGAATGCTTGACGATGCCTGGAACTCTGGCCCAGTGGAACTCTTCGGTGCCTACTTGTCTTGGTATGTATCCGCCAAGGATAGGTCTAAATGGAATTCACAGCCAGTCATTCTGCGGCATGCTCATTTTCTTTTTTTATAACAGACTTTAGAACAGTGTTTCTCAACCTCAGCAGTCTTAAGATGTATGGACTTTGACTCCCAGTCCACACGTCTTAAATCTGCCCAGGTGAGAAACATTGCCTTAGAGCTATGACCCAACCCATGGGAGAAACTAAATAATTTTGTACCAGTAACATTGTACTGCAAACTAGGGCATACAAAATCTTTGCCAGAACAATTCTCAAATGCAGCTCGTCTGCCTGGAATCCACACTGTATATCAAACATTAATACAATTGAGTGAGTCCAGAAGTATTTCACGAAAAGAGTATTCCACTTCTCTGCTCACAATAGAATTCCCTATGTCACCAGGCTTGAAATTTTGGGCTTGTACAACCTAGAACTAGGCCACCTACAGCCTGACCTACACAAAATTGTCTGCTGCAATGTCCTACCTGTCAATAACTACTTCAGCTTCAATTGCAATAATAATACATGGGCAAACAATAGATACAAACTCAAGATAAACTGCGCCAAACTCAATTGCAGAAAATATGACTTCAGTAAGAGTGGTCAATGCCTGGAATGCACTACTTGACTCTGTTGTTACATCCTCAAACCCCCATATCTTTAACCTTAAATTGTCTGCTGTGGACCTCACCCCATTCCTAAGAGGTCTGTAAGGGGACATGCATAAGTACACCAGCATCCCTACTGTCCCCATTTATTTGTCCCCATTTCCTGTGTTCATATCTATGTTTATACTTATACCTGTTATCTCGTAGATATTTGACGAAAGAAAGAAACAAACAAACAAACAAACAAACTTTGGTTGATCTTGAAAAATGTTGAGCAGGATTGGATCTGGCTGGCTATGGAATTCTGGGAGGTGAAGTGTACACATCTCTAGGTTGCGGAAGTTGAGAAACACTACTTTACGGCAAAGATGAAGGAAAAGAAGGATTGAGCTGTTCTTTGTTTAGCGATCTGAGATTTTCCAAATCTATTTGGAACAGTAGAAATCCTTTCTAAAGGCTTCCATCATGAATATATTATAATCACATATGTTCTCCAAATGATTGTTGTAATTATTCCTGTGTAACTTCTAATATGGGCATGTTTTGTTTTATATTTTATTTATTTATTTGATTTGTCAATTGTTTACAAGACAATAGGTATAAGAATAAACATGAGTATGAATGAAATGGGTATGAATAAATGGGTTTTTTAGGACAGGCATGGTAGGCATGTTGGTGCGCTTATGCACTCCCCCATTATGGACCTCTTAGGAATGGAGTGAAGCCAACAATAGACAGTTTAAGGTTGAAGTTCTGGGGATTTGAAGATGTAACAATAGAGTCAGGTAGTGCATTCCAGGCACTGACCACTCTGTTGCTGAAGTCGTATTTTCTGCAATCAAGTTTGGAGCAGTTTACGTTAAGTTTGTTTCTGTTGTGTGCTCTTGTGTTGTTGTGATTGAAGCAATATGCAAAGTTATTTGGTATTTGCAGAATTAGCTTTTCTGGCAATAAGTGTGCACATAAAAAAGCAGGTTTCTAACCTCTGTGGCTGCAGAGGTTTCCTCAGAAGGAATTAGAGGAACCCTCCTGATAGCTCAGCAATCTTGGGGTTGCTGGAGAAATGTTTCTTGTGAGTTCAGGGTCCTGATTCTTTTCTTTCCCCTCCTCAAGGCTAGCAGAAATTAAAATGCATTTTGGTAAATCCTGATGCCAAATAAATTATGCAGGGGTAGAGCTCATTTCATTTCAGATATAATTTGCATCTTTTATCTCGGGTACCGTTTCCTTTCTACAGAAGCTTGTTTCAGGGGAGGACATGATTCAGTGTTGCTGGGGGAAACGGCTGAGGTTCTCCAGCAGGTGCAAATCATATGTAGATGCTGCAGGAAAGGAACAGGGAATGTTCTTTCAACATGTCCTCCTTTTTTATATTGCATTCAAAGTCATCCAACAAAGATGCATGAAGAATTGGTGTACATCTCAGAGTCTGAACATTCTCTGTCTTTTGCTGCAGGATTTTCCTTGGGATGTACATCCTCCCTAAAGTTATTTATTTATTAAACAAATTAATATAGCTTCCCAAGCCACACACATATGACTCTGGATGGTTTAAAACATTTAAAAGATCTATCACATAATAAAACCCCATTAAAAACACCACCATGGCAATAACATTACAATCAAATCAGCCACTTAATCAGCTCCATTTATAGTACCCAGGCCAGAGGTGGTATTCAGCAGGTTCTGACCAGTTCTGGAGAACCAGTAGTGGAAATTTTGAGTAGTTCAGAGAACCAGCAAATAGCACCTCTGATTAGCCTCACCCCATCTATTCTCTGCCTCGCGAGTCCCATCTGATCGAGAGGAAATGGGGATTTTTCAGTAACCTTCTCCTGCCACGCCCACCAAGCCATGCCATGCCCACAGAACCAGTAGTAAAAAAAAATGAATCCCACCACTGACCCAGGAACATTGGCAAAACCATGTTTTTGAGAAAGCAAAGGATGGGGGGCAACCATACCTTGGGGGGATAATATTCAATAAAGAAGGGCCTGCCACGAAGAAAGCTTTTCTTCTATTAGATGTACATTCCTAATCAATGGGGTGCATAACATGCAATACCTCCCCTTCTCTGTTACATTCAAACAATATAGGAGGAAAGTCATGTTAGTCTACAGCAGCCAAAAATCTGAATGTCTGGAAGCATCTTTGTTGATCTTAATTGGTGCTACCACGCTTTTATCTCCAGACAAGGAAATGTCACTATAGCAAAAACAGTATTGATATGGAAGGTTGTCTTCTTCACCAGGCAAAGTGGAAAGACAGGTGATGGTACCTGGGTTACCTGCAGAAGGAGGATCATGACATGAAGCAGCAATTGTTAGTCCAAAGAACAGTGTGTCTATGCATTTTCTATTGTGGGAAAATGGGAGGGGAGGATTGTACGGAGTTAGATGATATGCAGCCATAACAAAATTCTTTCTACAAAGCCAAAGTCATCCTTTGTCTCTGCACCTCTGCACCTGACCAGAACTGGAGGGGTGGAACTGGAGGCCTGGCAGTGGGATATTGGACCAAGTGATGGACTTGTGGATGTGGGGGCAAGATCTTGAACTTTCAACTGGGTGGGGAAAACTGGGAAGCTTTCAGATTTGGGTGCCAACATGGCTCTCTTAATAAATTGGAACTTTGAGCAATACTTTGCCTTGGACTCTGATTTAATTCTGGATGCTATTTGGAATCCTGACACAATGATTATTTGTATGTGCAAAAGGTGCAGAGATGAGTGGGCGTTAATGTGTTGTCTTTTGGCTTTTTTGAATACATGTCAATTTATGCAGCAACAATCAAAACCTGCTCTTGGGTTTTAGGGTGAAAGAGACTAGGCATCTGAGAGAATAATTGGATAATTATTCTGGGGATTAAAAATAGCTGCCATTGATCAGTAGAATGATTTCCGTCTCAAGGACTGTTGATGTAACATAGACTTTCTTGTCTATTTCAGTGCCTTGTGGTGGAAACTTAACAGAGCGAAAAGGCACCATTTTGTCCCCTGGATTCCCTGAGCCCTACTTGAACAGCCTCAACTGTGTGTGGAAAATAACTGTCCCTGAAGGAGCTGGAATACAGGTAAAGCATGGTTACGAAGAATGGCTAAGTTAACAAGCCAGCTCAGATTGGGAAGAAAGGACTCAAACTGTTGTGGCCTGCCAGCAGCCATCAGAGCCAGCAGCAGAGTTGGATAGTGAGGAGGTTGGGGAGGAACATGGGCCAGTCCCGTGGGGGCTGAGGAAAGCTCAGATGAGGGCTCTGCATTGGAGGCAGAGAGGGAGCTAGACAGCAGGGAGGCAGATGAACAGCTGGACGCTGTTCCCAGTGTGTGCATGTGCAGAACTGCCAGAAGACAAGAACAACTAAGAAAGCAGGATCGACTTAAGAGTAAAGCCACACCTTGGAGGTGATTGTCCCCTCCCATAGGAAACAAAAGAGAAACCAATGGAGAGTGGGCATTGCAGGGAACAATTTGTTCCTTCAGTCGTGTCAAGAGTTGAAAGATCTGTTTGTAACTATAAGAGACTCTGTGTCAAGTTTTGCCTTGCCCTGCATTTGGAAACTAGTTATTTGACAGCTTGCCAAGTGAGATAAGGTTCATGTTGATAAACATTCCTCTGAAAGACAGCTTGCTAAGCCTTGCGGATTGCGAATGAAAGGAATTCACAGTCATATAAATAAAAGGGGTTTGGATGGGATCAAGACTCTGTTTCTTGCTGTTCAAGGAAGCCTGGGTAAGAACACAAACAAAGACTGCTCTTTCTTTCTTTCAGCTTGTAGCCTAAGAAGTCAAGATGTTAGTCTTTCAATCTGCTTTTTCTTCCCTTTCAGACTAGTTATTAGTAAAGCTACTGTCCAAGATTTAATTCTGTATGAAAGCACTGATGTGGCAAGTGTCAAGGAGACTATTTATCTCATAGAAAACATCGTGGGCGGAGGGCTATGTCTATGGCAGCCAGAAAGTTGGAAAGGATCTGATAGCATCTTTTCAGGCTAATAGACATTTTGTTAAAGGGCAGGAGCTATGCAGCTCACTTCATCAGAGGCAAAATCTCATGGCGGCGTTCTTCTTTTGATGGTCCGGTTAGCTCAGGTTTGAAGATGGAAATCAAAGAGCAAATTCTTTCTCTCTGACCAGGAAGTCTGTGCAGCAGTCTGCCATTTTTAAAGGCACTGATGAGCACTGCTGTACTCAGGTAATTGGGAGAATTGGAGGAACTTGTTGTGGCCCTCCAGCGGCCAGTAGAGCTGGCAGCAAATTTGGACAGTGAGGAGGTTGGGGAGGAATATGGGCCAGTCCTGGAGTCTGGGGAAGGCTAGGATGAGGGCTCTGCGTCGGAGGGAGAGAAGGGGTCAAGACCATCTGGTAGTTATTTGCTGCCTCCAGAGCCTCCAGAGTCTGACATCAGTGAGGCAGAAGAACAGCGGGAGCCTGTTCCCAGTGTGTGATGTGCAGAGCTGCCAGAAGGCAAGAACAATTAAGAAAATAGGGTCGACTCAGGAGTAAGGCATGGAGATGATTGGCCCTTCCCATAAGCCATAAAAGAGGAGTGAACAGGACGTGAGCTTTTGCAGGAAGCAATTAGTTCATTTGATCTGTTCAAACTTTGAAAAGTTCTTGCTCTGCATTTAGGTCTCTGGCAGCCTTCCAAGGGAGATAAGGTGGGTGTTTATCAACATTCCCCTGAAAGACTGTGGCAACTCAAGCAGACATCTGTCGGAACCAGTGGTGGGTTGCAGGCAGTATGCCCTGGTACGGGCGTACCAGTGCCTGCCCAGAGCACTGGGTACCGTTCCGGTACAGTGCTCCGGAGGGCCCACCTGCCCACCCGAGCTTCTTACCTGTATTTGAGGTCTTTGGTGCTTCTGCGCACGTGCACAGAGCACACAGCAGCTGCATGACACTCCGCTAAGGCGGAGGCATTGCAAGTGCGCGCTGCGCTCATTCATGTGGTACACGCCGGGCTCTGTTGCAACTGGTACAGTTGCAACAAGATCCAGAACGCACCACTGGTTGGAATCTTCCTTCCTTCTGATTAGGTGGCCAAAGTATTTGAGTTTCCTCTTCAGAATCTGGTCTTCTAAAGAGCAGGCAGGGTCGATCTCCTCTAGGACTGACCAGTTGGCTCACCTTGCAGTCCAAGGGATTCACAGGAGTCTTCTCCAGCACCAGAGTCCAAAGGCCTCCATTCTTTGCCACTCAGTTTTCCTTATGGTCCAATCTTCACTTGGCTTTGCTTAGCAACAGAAATTCTGGTTCTGATTGTGGTCACAAGTCAAGGACTATGGATTTCTGCCCTGGGGAGACCGTTGGGCTTGATGATCTTCAAAGTCATTTCTTCCTCTTACCTTCCATCATTTTTTTGGTGGAAGAGTGCAGTATATTGTCTCCGAGCTATTTTATTTAACTACGTGCCATAGTGCTAGTGGACATCCAGGATTGCTAAACATGAAAGTCGATGCCTGAAGAAAAACACAGAACCTTCAGAAAGGTTTGTTTGAGATAAAAGCCACAAATACTTTCATCTCTGAAAGAAATGATCTGATAGCAGAAGTTTCCTTGCTCAGTGTCCTTTAGGACTCTACATACATAATTTGCTAGGTAATTAGGACAGTAAAAAAGCATAATCTGGAAATCTTCAGGTTGGAAAAAGTTGTTATAGAGAAAAAATTGGGATATATAACAACCCCTTTTATTAACGCTTTCCTAGCTAAGGACTAAAAATTATTAACAACCTCAGATAAGCAGAGGATATCACTCTAATGGCAGAAAGTGAAAAGGAAGTACGGAGCCTCTTGATGTGAGTGAAGAAGGACAGTGCAAAAGTTGGCCTGAAACTCAACATTAAAAAAACTAAGATCATGCCATCCGGCACTTTCAATTCCTGGCAAATAGATGGGGAAGAAATGAAGATAGTGACAGATTTTATTTTCCTGGGCTCAAAGATCACCGCAGATGGGATCTGCAGCCAAGGAATTAAAAGATCCTTGCTCCTGGGGAGGAAAGCTATGGGAAATCTAGTTAGCATACTAAAAAGCAGAGACATCACCCTGCCAACACAAATGTGAATAGTCAAGGCTATTGTTTTCCCAGTTGCAATAGATGGCTGTGAAAGTTGGACCATAAGAAAGGCTGAGCACCAAAGAATGGAGGCCTTTGAACTCTGGTGCTGAAGAAGACGCCTGTGAGTCCCTTGGACTGCAAGGTGATCCAACCGGTCAGTCCCAGAGAAGGTCATCCCTGACTGCACTTTAGAAGGCGAGATCCTGAAGATGAAACTCAAATACTTTGGCCACTTAATGAAAAGGGAGGACTCACTGGAGAAGAGCCTAATGCTGGGAACAATTGAGGGCAAGAGAAGAAGGGAACAACAGAGAATGTGGCAGCTGGATGGAGTCACCAAAGGAGCAGGCGTGAGCTTAAATGGACTCCAGAGGATGGTAGAGGACAGAAAGGCCTGGAGGAACATTGTCCATGGAGTTGCAATGGGTCAGACATGACTTCACAACTAACAACAACAAGCTACAGTATGTAGTTCAAAGACAGTAGTATTACTAGCATTTTCTATGGCATAAAACTTTTTTAAATGAAACATATTTAGCTCTATATAAAGAGAGGTAACTGGCTCTTTAAAACCTGTGAAAAGTTTGCTAAAGGATATTAGTAGGAACAATTTGGTCTGATCCAACTCCAGGATACCAACTGCAATTGTTTGCAATATATATATTAAGCCAGAAAGAGAGACTCCTGTTCTGCTTCATCCTGCTCTGCTTCAATAGCCTAGCAAAAGAGAAGGAAGCAATTAGCATCATAATAGGACCATTTTGCAGCTTCCAAATTCACAAGGCGTATCCTTTTGTGAGTGTCAAAATTGATTAGCAGATCCATTTTTTTTATTTAGTTTTGTTCTGGATTTGTTTGAGACTTATTTGCCTTGTTATTGGTATTTCTCACAGCATAGCATGGAAGAGAAAAAGGAAGATCATTTTAGTAGAACTGCTAAATGTATTGCAAAACATTTGACACTTGTGATATCAAGGCGATAATTTATTCCTTTCATTTGTTAATTTCAGTGGAGGTGGAGAAGGAGCTACTGGGAGAACCAGCTTGCTATTAATACATTTTTGCTCTATTTTCTTGGAATGTAGTATCTAAATTAGGATGTCTTTAGAAGCTAATAGATCATATGAATTGAAGCTAAAATAATGATATTAACACGAAGAAATATTTCAGGAAAATGTAGTTCCCCCCCCCTCTTCTTGAGAAAAATATACTGTTTCCTTCTCTCTCCATGTTCTTTGGAACAATGCCATGCATGGCATTATGTCATCACAAATGAGATGTAGCTGAAGCAAGTTATGTCATTAGCATCATTAGCATGATGACATCATGGCATGGCATGTGTCCCTGAAGATGGCCACGACTTCATAAAAGGTTTCTGGAAAATTCAACAAAACCTTGCACTGGAATGCATAATCAAAGCTGCATTCCCGCAACACTTTACTTACTGAATTTCTACCTTTTCATATTAAACTAAACTGAATTAAGCAGTCTGGATTCATACAAGACCTTAAACCAGGGGGAAAAAAGAAACTATCTGAAGTTAATATTTATCTGGCTTTGTAACTGCTAGCTTTGCCACTGATCTGGTTAAACAGGTGTTGTCTGTGACCCAGCCTTGAAGAAAGTTGTTTGATCTGTTTGTACAGGGATGAAGTAGGTCCTTACATAATCGACGTGCATATTGCATGAACCATGATCCTGGTTCATGTGCTAGGATTCCCATAGAGCTGGGCAGAGATTTTGCAAACACATGAGCTGAGTCGACAGTTTAATATTGTTGGAAGAAATCTCCATCTGGGTTCAGTTCCAGTTCCAAGTGGGGAGAAAGACATTGGAAACATGGAGGCTGCTTGGAAAGATGGTTTCATGGTGGACAGGACCAAATGGTTTGAGGCCCTGGGCAACTGAGCACATGGAAGAGAGAGAGAGAGATTTATACCCTCTCTTGAGGCCCGCCTTGGAGCTTCCTGTTCCTGGGTAAGGGTAGGTATTCTAATTGGTTGTCAGTCTCCCATGGGGCCTTGCAGGGGTAACTTTGTAGGTTGTCTTTTGAGTCCCAGGCTTGGGTGATGATGTAATGAAGGGACTTATTCTGACCCAGACTTCCTTAGAAAGCAAGAAACAAAGTGTTGGTCCCCACAAAACCTCTTTTATTTATACAACTGTGAATTCCTTTCATTCACAATCAGCAAAGCTTATCAAACAGTCTTTCAGAGGAATGTTTGTCCACACGCACCTTATCTTGTTAGGGGTGCCACCAGATAACTAGTGTCCAAACACAGAGCAAAGCAAAACTTGGCACAGAGTCTCTCACAAACAGAATTTTCCAGACCAATGAACAAATTGTTTCCTGCAAAAGCCCACTCCCTGTTCATTCCTCTTTTGTTTCTTATGGGAGGGGACAATCACCTCCAAGGTGTTAAGTCGACCCTGCTTTCTTAATTGTTCCTGTCTCCTGGCAGCTCTGCACATGCACACACTGGGAACAGCCTCCAACTGTACATCTGCCTCCCTGCTGTCTAGCTCCCTCTCTGCCTCTGATGCAGAGCCCTCATCTGAGCTTTCCTCAGCCCTCAGGACTGGCCCATGTTCCTCCCAACCTCCTCACTGTCCGACTCTGCTGCCAGCTCCGCAGGCCACCAGCAGACCACAACAGGGCTTTGAGCAATTCCTATTATGGCTGAGGGCTAATCCTACATTTGTTGGACCTTAGGTGAGGGTATTTGCTTATGAAGTAGCCATCTCTTTATCCCTTAAGTGCTGACATCTGCTGTGGGCTATTAAAGCGGGTGAGGGCTATTAAGAGTGAGTCTGCTTCCTGCCTTGAAAAACATGTTTCTTCATTTCTCAACCAGGGAAATATAATATTCTGCCTTTTTAAATATTTCCTAGAATATTTCATTCTTCTAGGAGAGGGTTGGGTGCTAACTTTTTACAGTATGCATAACTAAGGTGTAATTGGCTGCTTGTAACTCTGTATTGCTGTGAACATAACCAGAGTGTTTTAATAATGGCCACCTGAGCATATAACATCTGAATTGTATTAGACTTCCATCAATTTCTGTTTTGTATTCCAGGTTAATCCTGGCAAATCAGGTGAGCTGGTAAGAATGAAAGCATTCTTGGAAGTGGAGTATAGGCTGTATCTAACCAAGGAGTTCACTTGCTAGGACATTTTGTATGAATTATTCATTTCCCAAGTAGCAATTCTCAGTAAATATACACTGCAGTTCCTAAAATCTTGCATATCATTTTAGAATTGAAATTTTAGAATTCCCCCCTCCATTCTTTCCTCCCCCGCAAAAAACCCCTTCTGAAAAAGAAGTGAAGAATAAAAAGGAGAATAAAACCAACATTTAAGGTTCTCTTATATAGAAATCATTACAAGTTGGATAATTTTCTTTCTTTTCTTTTTCTTACTTTATATGAGTTTTTAAACTTCCTTTAGAAAAAAACTTGGCTATATAAACCTGTTAATATATTATCAAACAAGTTGGATAATTATGTAGACTCTGGAGCAATTTGTAAAGGCTCTGTGGGGGTTATTAGCATTTTGTAGAGGTGAACTCTAAAAGGCTCTTGTGTTTCATTTATGTTTTGATTTAAAGTTTTCACAAAATGGCTTTAGGACAAATTAAGGAGGAAAACAACTGAAAATGTCAGAAACAGTTATTTATGGTCACCCTGCCAAACACACCACTTCCTTTTTTTCTATTGCCTTCAGTGAAAAACAAATGTTGCACTTCCATGGGATAAATTTCTCCCAAATGCCATCCTGGCTAAAGGGCAGATATCATAATTAAGTGGAAAATGTTTGATGTGGCTTGCCATTTTACTAAAAAGAATCCCCATTGCAAGAAGAAAGTGGGTATGATCAAAGATTAAGGATTTCACCTCTTAGACTGGCATTCTACAACAGAATTCCCTAACCAGCTTTCTCCGGGAAAAACATTTCCCAACTAGCATAACTGACATATTTCAGAGATTTGGATTGCGCTGTGAGAGATTGGTTAGACTCTGCACTATAATTCTGAGGACCTTATCCACCAGACTTGAGCCCTATATGATGGCAGGGAGTTTTCAGATGTATTCAAGGGCAGGATCTCAGTTTCCATGGGGTTAACAATGAAACTTGGAACCTCATGTTAATTAAAACTGAATCGAAGAGGCCTCAAAATATTCTTCAATGCATTTCAAAGCTCTTTGCTATAAAGATTCCTACACTGATAAATTAAGTGTGGAGAGAATTTGTTATATAAACTTTGTGAATCTACCATAAAAAAATAAATTGTTGTTGTTAGTTGCAAAGTCATGTCTGACCCATCGCAACCCCATGGACAAGGTTCCTCTAGGCCTTCCTGTCCTCTACCATCCTCTGGAGTCCATTTAAGCTCACACCAACTGCTTTGGTGACTCCATCCAGCCACTTTGTTCTCTGCCATCCCCTTCTTCTTTTGCCCTCAATTTTTCCCAGCATCAGGAACTTCTCAAGGGAGTCCTTCCTTCTCATTAGGTGGCCAAAGTATTTGAGTTTCCTCTTCAGGATCTGGTTTTCTAAAGAGCAGTCAGGGTTGATCTCTTCTAGGACTGGCCAATTGGATCGTCTTGCAATCCAAGGGACGTGCAGGAGTCTTCTCCAGCATCATCGTTCAAAGGCTATTCCATTCCATTCTATTCCATTCTATTCCATTCTATTCCATTCTATTCCATTCTATTCCATTCTATTCCATTCTATTCTTGCTGTAGTTGTTAGTTGTGAAG